TTTTTTTTTTTTGTTGGTTGTGGGGCTTGAACTCTAGGCTTGGGCAGTGTCCCTGTGCTCTTCAGCTCAATGCGAGCACTGTACCGCTTGAGCCACAGCATCACTTCCAGTTTTCTAGTGATTTATTGGAGATAAGAGTCTCACGGACTTTCTTGCTTGGGCTGGCTTTGAACTGAGATCCTAGGATCTCAGTCTCCTGAGTAGCTAGGATTACAGGTGTGGGCCACTGGCGCCAGCTCATGTACTTTTTATCTAATTAATTTTTGGTGGTTCTGGATACATGTTCTGGTGCTTGTTAGGCAAGTCTTCTCCTCTCCTTCAGGCCTCCAGAACTAGATGTTTAATTTTGAATGAAAGTTTTCTGCTTGCTTTGTCCTTACATCCCGTCTTTATTTCTGCAGTGTCACACATTAATCCCATGTAGTATTTTTCATCTCTAGATGTTAGATTTGCATCTTTAAAACAAAAGGGAATTGTTTCCTGGGTCTCTACTTGTCACTAAGATGGGTAATGCTGGGGAAGTAAACCCATAGAACTCTATAGTCCAGTTATAATATGCATCATTTAGTTAATATTTTTATTCTGGGATGATATTTATGTATCTCTCTCTCTATATATGTTCTTACGACTTGTATTTTCCTACTTTTATATATGTTTAATAGTTTTTGAGTGGATGACAGATTGTGAATTTTATTATGCTAGGTGTTGGTTATTTTTTTATTTTACCTACTTGGAAGCTATTTGATCCTTTTGGGTCAGCTTGCTAGATTTGCTATACAAGATTAAAACAGTGCTCACTCTAGAGCAGTATACTACTGAGGCAAAATCCTTCTGAGTACTCTCCCTAACACTTAATCTAATCTAATTTATAGGATTGGCATAATTCCTAATCTATTGTGAATACTAAGTACTATGTTTTCTTATCCTTTTGGGAGGTTCTTTGGTTAGGCTGATAGCTCTTCACATTCATGTGCCAGTCAGTACTCATCTCAACAGATCATCTGCAGAGCTCTGGTAGTCAGGCTTTGAGAATCCAGCACTCTGAAATACAGTATTTATGTATTTTGTCCATCTTGTGGTTATTTCAGATGCAAGAGTAAATTTTTTATCCTTTTTTACACTATATTGGCCTGAGTAGATATCTTTAGGAATGTCAAGTATTAAAAATAAAAGCCAGGTGCCAGTGACTCACTCCTGTAATCCTACCTACTTAGGAGGCTGATATCTGAGTGGCTGAAGCTAGCCTGGGCTATAAAGTCCCCACGAGACTCTTATCGCCAATCAACCACTCAAAAACTGAATGGGGTGCTGTGGCTCAAGTGGTTGAGTACTACCCTTGAGCACGAAGATGTTCAGGTACAGCACCCAGGCCCTGAATTCCAGCCCTACAGCTGACAAAAAAATAAATAAAAATAAAAGATCAGATTTGAGCACCAATGGCTCATGCCTATAATCCCAACTAATCAGGAATATTAATCCCAGCTACTACTGAGATTTGAGGACCACAGGTCTGAGGACCACAGCCTAGTCAGGAAAGTCCATGAGACTCTTATTTCCATTTAATTAGCAAAAAGCCAGAAGTGGAGCTGTGGCTCAAGTGTTGAGTCTCAGCCTTGAATGAAAAAGGTAAGGAACAGTGCCCAGGCCCTAAATTCAAGCCCCGGTACTGGCATACACACACACACAAAAAAATAAAAATAAACGAGTATTTAAATTGTTCTGTTAGATTTACCACTAAACATATATTCTACAGCAAAGTGACTTTCCAAGAGAGACTTTTGAAGGCCCTAAACATGAAGTACTACGAAGATGTCTTTGTGCAGGCTACTTCAAAAATGTTGCTCGAAGGTAAGCTATAAGACTTTGAAAGGTGGATCAGAAGTACTACTATATTTGACTATAATATATGAACTATTAAAGATTACATTTTAAAATTTAATATTACTGTTAATATTTAATATTAAAGACTAAATGTATACAAAGTATAGGAGGGTATAAAATTTGGAGTTAAAGATGTGAATTAGGAAAACGTTGCCTATGGAAACAGCCCCAGAATACCTAAAGTGAATGAATGGATATGTTGCCAGCACTGATGGCTTATGCCCGTAATCTCAGCTACTTAGGAGGATAAGATCTAAGGATCACAGTTTGAAACCAGCTCAGGCAGGAAAGTCCATGAGACTTTTATCTCTAATAAAGCAACAAAAAAAGTGAAAGTGGAGCTGTAATTCAAGTGGAAGACCACTAGCCTTGAGCACAAAAGCTCAGGACAGCATTCAGGCTTAGGACTGGCATAAAAAAAAAGAAACAAAACTGTGTGTGTATGTGTGTGTGTGTGTGTAGGACTGGCATAAAAAAAGAAACAAAACAGTGTGTGTGTGTGTGTGTGTAACTGTGTGTATATATATATATATAGGTCCAGAAGACAAAGGGCACATACTTTCTCTCCTATGTGTATCTTAAACCCAGAATTCAGCCTTCCATGTAAACACATAGGTGACTATACATGTATGCATAATTAAGTTGACTAAAGTATAGTCTATGCAGGAGTGATATTCTGAGAAAAACTCTGAATAATTAAGAGACATGACTATCAGGAAGTTAAACATAGTGTCAAGTGGGGGATTTAGTGGCAGTATTGTGGACAAAAAGGGAATGGGGAACAAATGTCATCAGAGTACCCAGTGTACATTTGTGAAAAAGAAAGTGGCAAACTTGATATGATTCAAGTGGGGAGGGATTTTGGAAATAGGGGAGAATGATAAAAAAAAAAAAGGTATCTTTGATCCAGATGCACTGCACACATAAATGGACATGTTAAATTATAACCCACTTGTACAACCATTTGAAGATTTAAAAAAATCTTTATAAAAACATTCATGAGAAGCCAGTCGCCTGGTGGCTCAGGCTTCTCAGGAGCCTGAGATCTGAGGATTGAGGTTCAAAGCCAGCCTGGGCAGGAAAGGGAGGAAAGTCCGTGAGACTCTTAATCTCCAATAAACCACCAGAAAACTGGAAGTGGTCTGTGGCTCAAGATGTAGAGTGCTCGCTTTGAGCTGAAGAGCACAAGGACAGCGCCCAAGCCCAGAGTTCAAGTCCCATGACCAACCAAAAAAAAGAAAAAAAGATACATTAGATTTTTCTAATTGTCATGTTTTAGAACAGTAAAAAATCACTTTGAAAAGAGTTGTAGCATAATATAAAAACTGTACAGGAAGTGGCACTGTGGCTCAAGTGGTAGAGCTCTTGCCTTGAGTTGAAGAGCTCAGGGACAGCGTCCAGGCCCAGAGTTTAAGTCCCAGGTCTAACCAAAAAAAAAAAAAGGTTTATTTCCTGGGTGCTGGTGGCTCAAGCCTGTAATCCTAGCTGCTCAGGAGGCTGAGATCTGTGGTTCAAAGCCACTTGGACAGGAAAGGCCATGAGACTCTTACCTCCAATAAACCACTCAGAAAACTGGAAAGGGCACTGTGGCTCAAGTGGTAGAGTGCTCACCTTGAGCTGAGGAGCTAAGGGACAGTGCCCAGGCCTAGAGTTCAAGCCCCATAACTGACCAAAAAAAAAAAAGCCAAAAACTGTACATTATGTAACCCAGAAGTAGACAATTTTGTTTTACTATGTATTACTTGAAAAAACTATATTCTTATACATGTCTTGAGAACACTATCTGATTTATTTGAGTCTAAGTTTTGATCTTTTAATAAGGTCTCGTGTGTGTGTGTGTGTGTGTGTGTGTGTGTGTGTGTCTGTTTGTCTGTCTGTCTGTGTGTGCACGCCTGCCCATGCATGTGCACGTGCACGCTACTCCTGGGGCTTGATCTTAGGATAGTTTTGGTAATGAGAGCCTGTGCTCTCAGCTTGTTGTCAGCAGTAGCTTTACATCTGTTGTTGGTTCACCTGCAGCTGGGTTTGGCTATAGGCTTTACTTTGGAGCACACTCTGGTCATGCCATTATATCACTGGGGCCTTCATCAGAAGAAGCAATGCTAAGTTCTCACAGCCTGACCACACCAAAGCCGGCAGTCTTTAGTGGCTTACCCATAGCAGAAGCAGCAATAGCAGCAGTGATAATGGTCCTTGCTTCTATGAAATAAAGCAATTTTTGTAGTATGTGCCAAACCTGGGAGATGCTAAACTTTGTTTGAGTGAATTATTGGTGTAGACTTGCAAATGGATTTGTAGAAGCAAGACATTCACATTGAAGAAATGGAAAATTGGTTCTTCGGACCATGTTGCATTAGTATAAAAATATAATTAAAGCCAGGCGCTGGTGGCTCACGCCTGTAATCCTAGCTACTCAGGAGGCTAAGATCTGAGGATTGCAGTTCAAAGCCAGTCTGGGCAGGAAAGACTGTGAGACTCCTATCTCCAGTAAACCACTAGAAAACCGGAAGTGGCGCTGTAGCTCAAGTGGTAGAGCGCTCACGTTGAGCTGAAGAGCTGAGGGACAGTGCCCAGGCCCAAAGTTCAAGCTCCATGACCGACAAAAAAAAAAAAAAGTAAAAAAATATATAATTAAAAGAATAAAGTGTTAAAATCATTAGGTATATTTCTTCTATATCATTAATAACCTCCTTATTTAATATTGCAATGAAAGGGTAGAAGTTCATTGAGGAGGTATAGAATTTGAGAATGGGCAAGTGCTCTGTGGCCTCCTTAAACCAGCTGTTACGATGTTATTGTTTATGAGTTACTTAGACTATGACTTCATTTCTTTCTTGTTTTGATTTTTATCATTTGTTTTTTTCTGTTTATAGATCTGTTGGGAGAACGTTTTGTACAATGGATGGACGTGGAAGCCCAGTTCATATTCATCCTTCCTCAGCAGTAAGTACATTATTTTTAATAAAGGGAAGACATAAGAGTATAGGAGTAAATAATATATAAATGACTTTTACTTTTCACTTTGAGGTTGAATTTATATCTTCTTTTATGTGTTGATACTGGAGAATGAACTCAGGGCCTTAAACTCAGCTTTTCATTCATGGCTGCTTTTCACTCAAGTGGTACTCCACCACTTGAGCCATTTCTCTACTTCTGGCTTTTTGGTGATCAATTGGAGTTCATGGATTTTCCTGCGGCACTGGCTTTGAGCCACTATCTCAGCTTCCTGAGTAACTAGGATTACAGGCGTGAGCCACCAATGGCCAGCCTCATATATCTCATATATCCTCATATATATTGTACATAGAGCTGTAAGGGTATTGGTTGATCTAATTGTTAGGAGGATTTGGGTTATTTGATTGGTCTAATGTGGAATAATGAATCATAATGAATTCCTTTGTATAGCTTCATGAACAGGAAACCAAACTTGAATGGATCATTTTTCATGAGGTATTAGTTACCACCAAAGTCTACGCAAGAATTGTGTGTCCAATCCGTTATGAATGGGTGAGAGACTTGTTGCCCAAGCTGCATGAATTGAATGCTCATGATTTGAGTAGTGTGGCTCGACGTGAAGTTAGAGAAGATGCAAGAAGAAGATGGACCAATAAGGAAAATGTAAAGCAGCTAAAGGGTGAGTCATTCTACTCTTAACTGTTATGTCATACTATTTCCTAGTGGTGCTTTACTATTTTTGTCTGTATTTTTGTGAATTATTACTTTGTTTATTTATTTATTTTGCTAGTCCTGGGGCTTGAACCCAAGGCCTGGGCACTGTTCCTGAGTTGATTTTTATTGTTGTTGGTCCGGGGGCTGGAACTCTGGGTCTGGGTGCTGTTCCTGAGCTGTTCAGCTCCAGGCGGGTACTCTACCACTTGAGCCACAGTACCACTTCTGGTTTTCTGGTGATTAACTTGAGGTAAGTCTCACAGACTTTTCCTGCTTGGGCTGGCTTTGAGCCACCATCCTCATATCTCAGCTTCCTGAGTAGGTAGAGTTTACATGTTTGAGCCACTGGTGCCCAGCTTCCCTGAGCTTCTTTTTTGCTCAAGGCTAGCACTCTACCACTAAGAGCCATAATGCCTCTTCTGACTTTTTTCTGTTTATGTGGTACTGAGGACTCAAACCCAGGGCTTCATGCATTCTAGGCAAGCACTCTACTACTAAGCCACATTCCCAGCTCCTGAGTTATTACTTTAGAATTCCTTTTTTTTTTCCCAAGAAAATTTAGAAAAGCAGCATAAGGCCAGGTGCTGGTGACTTATGCCTATAATCCTAGCTACTCAGGAGGCTGATTTTTTTTTCTTTTCTTTTCTTTTTTTTTGGGGGGGGGTCCGGTCGTGGGGCCTGAACTCTGGGCCTGGGCGCTGTCCCTCAGTTCTTCAACTCAAGGCTAGCGCTCTACCACTTGAGCCACAGCGCCACTTCCAGCTTTTTTTTCTGCTTATATGGTGCTGAGGAATCGAACCCAGGACCTCATGCATGCAAGGCAAGTGTTCTACCACTGAGCCACCTTCCCAGCTCCCACGAGGCTGATTTGTAAGGATTGCAGTTCAATGCCAGACTGGACAGAAAAGTCTCTTGAGACTCTCATCTCCAGTTAACCACTTAAAAACTAGAAGTGGCACTGTGGCTCATGTGGTAGAGCACTATTCTTGAGCACAGAGAGGCTCAGGGACAGCATCTAGGCCCTGAGTTTAAGCCCCACAGCTGACAAATAAGAAAAGGAAAAGCAATGATCCTGAAATAGGGCCGGAAACTTAATTATCAGTTTACATACACAAAAAGGTTTGATGCTAAATGGATGGGTCATATTATATCTTTATTTAGCTTCTCTGGTTAATAGAATTGTGACGTTTTTTACCCAAGAAATTATAAAAGGGTCTTTAGAAATGTCAGCCATTTAGTGTTTTGTCGCAGTAATGTAACATAGTCCTACATGCTTGCATTAGGGACAGTTGTTTTGACTTTCCCTCTATGTAATTTTTTTGTTGTGTTGATAGTAGATATTTAGGGGTTCAAAATTAGGGTCTTATGCATGCTAAGCACACACTATACTGAGTTACATCTCCCCAGCACAAGTTCTTACTTTGTAAGCATAAATCATTATTTTTTTGGGGGGGAGGTCCAGTTGTGGGGCCTGAACTCTGGGCCTGGGCACTGTCCCTCAGCTCTTCAGCTCAAGGCTAGCACTCTACCACTTGAGCCACAGCGCCACTTCCGGCTTTTTTCTTTTTGCTTATGTGGTGCTGAGGAATTGAACCCAGGGCCTCAGGCATGCAAGGCAAGCACTCTACCACTGAGCCACCTTCCCAGCCCTCATTATTTCTTTTGATAAAGCAAAACTTAATTTCCTTTTAATTCTTCACTTAGTATTGAAAAAATTAGGATATTTCTTTCTTTAGTTCTGAAATGCAAAATTAAAATTTTATTGAATTAATTTGTCATTTTTTCAGATGGAATATCAAAAGAAGTCCTAAAGAAAATGCAAAGAAGAAACGATGACAAATCCATATCAGATGCACGGGCACGTTTCCTTGAGAGAAAGCAGCAGAGGACACAAGATCATGGTGACACATTGAAGGAAACAGGCTAAGAAGTCAACCCTCCAATTCAGGAAGTAGGAAAAGCAGCCAGGAAGTGTGCTTCTACTTTGCCAGTTATTTCAGACATTACTGCCAAGAGGAAGTGGTCAGCAGCTATTTCTAGCCTGTGAGCTGAAAGCAAATCAAAGCTCATCAGTACCAACAAATGGAATTTTGAAGGAAAGGATTGGGTTGCATAGTCATAGGCAATGATACCCGAACCAATGAAAGACAATACTTGTAATATTTTCCTTGCTTCAGTTTTGCTGGCCTTAACTGGTATTAAACGCTGTCATTGAGATATTTTCCAAGAACATTGAATTGTATTTAATCAGCGTGTATTCCATTTGCATTGAAGCATTAAAAATTATTTTCCTTAAATCTCTTTAAGGCCTTCTTGTTGCTATTAGATTAGTGTTATTCAGGTACGTGACCTTTTTCTTCAGAAGGCTGAATTTACATTAAGAGGTTTTTACTCAGCAATACGTAGATGTCTAACTGTTTAATTGCTACAGAGCTTTATAGATATAGAGAAGAGTCAGTAAATAAAATTTGCCTATGACAGGATTCTTTCTTGAATTAATACTAATCCTTAAAATTGATTTTTTCTGGGATTATACAAATTCCTTTTTATATAAAAAATATATTGTTTAAAACAGTAGCTATAGCCATTAACCAAAGGAAAGATGATATATATAAATATATATATATATATAAAGTCTTTTTTAGCTGTTCCTACATACTTGTATCAGCATCATGTATGTAGGTGTAACAGTGCTTTCAAGTAGTCCCTCCACCTGGCCTACTCTTTTGCCTCCAGCTGCTTGAGTAGGACTATTTAAATATCTGGTACACTGATCTTAAGATGGTATTTTCAAAGCAGCCAACACTACTTCACCAGTGTTTCAAATTGGAACCTTGAGGCTAGTTAGTATTACACTCAGGCCACACTCAGCACTTGCCTACTCTTGTTTACTGCCTTGTATTCTAGTTATTTGTGTATATGTCTGTCTCCCGCACTAGATTATACGCTCCTTGTGGGCAGGGGCTGTGTCTTTTTTGTCTTTGTATCTTTCATGGCACCTGGCATAGTGCTTTTGCACATAGTAGTCACTCAGTGTTTGTTAAATAAAGCTATTAGTGTCATTAAAACTCAAAAGACAGTATAATGTGTGTTTTTAGATATTTTGGTGTGGAGTAAAATCTGAGTCTAAACTTTATAGGGAACTAACTTCTAGTATTTTCCTTTGGCATCTACACAGGTTTTTTGTTTTTGTTTTTGCTTTTTTGTTGGTCGAGGAGCTTGAACTCTGGGCCTGGCGGCTGTCTTTGAGCCACAGCGCCACTTCTGGTTTTCTGGTGGTTTATTGGAGATAAGAATCTCACAGACTTTCCTGCCCAGGTTGGCTTTGAACTGCGATCCTCAGATCTCAGATACCTGAGCAGCTAGGATTACAGGTGTGAGCCAACAGTATCCGGCTATCTACACAGTTTTATGTTCAGTATTAGAAACTTGAAGCCTTTCTTGAAAAGTCACAAGAGGACCCAAATCCATGTGCTTTTCCTTGTAGGTGAGTGGTTATGGTTTCTGTCTTTGCAGCAATGTTAATTTACTTAGGGCTCTAGACACTTTCAGTACATTGATCATTTAGTCTTGTCAGTTTCTCTGCTAAGGTGTATGTTATTAGTGTGTTTCCTTAGATATAGTACTTGTGATGGGCTTGTGGGCTCTTGAAAGCTCTTTTCAGCAAATATTTACACACACTTAAAGTCTACAGTCATATAGTCAAGTGCCATCACTTGTCCCAATATCATCTTCTGTGGCATTTTTCTTTTTTTGGGGGGGGGGTCCAGTTGTGGGGT